GAAGGTGAGGGGGATGAGGAGAAAGAGAGAGAGAGAGGAGTCGGCGGTGGAAATGAAAAATAGTCTCGAGCCAAAAGTAACTACTAGCTCCTACCTACAGATAAGGGAAAATAACGAGGCCGACAGCCGCGTGGAGGGGAACTAATTCGGCGCATATTTCACACACGTCCGCTTTACGGACGTTAAGTATAGGTTAGCACGACCGTTCCTCGGGATAAAGGAATTAATTGCATTGCCCCTCCGTTCCCCATCCGTCTTTTTCCTTTCAACCTTTACCGACTTTTTGCCCTCGGGGCGCCCTCCCTCCTCCTCCTCCCTTCTTCTCCTCCTCCTCCTCCTCCCTCCTCCCATCTCCCTGGTTCGCACGAATCTTTGGTGACCTAACTGTCCACGGTGGGCGCGTGACTGGCATCTGACAATTTTTCGCTCGATATTTTTCTATGTCTATGTTTACGCGGTGGTTTCGATGCCTCTCGTTTCCGGGAGAAACCAGAGACCTTGTTTCCGCGCGTTGCGTTAAATAAACACACGATGTGTTTGCTTAGGTGATCCTCGACGTTGATCAAATTTTTTGTTAAAATAAACGATTTTGGGAAGGGGGCCTTGTCTCGTTTTTTCTTTTTTTTTTTTACGGTTGCTTATCTCAAGAGAAAGTTTGCACTTTTTAAAATATAATTTTGACTGGAAATTTTCCCCGTAACGACAAAGTGCGAATAAAGAGCAGTAGATTCTGAACATTTTGTGATTTAAAATTTTGAAATGTATTGTTGATTTTTGCGGCTTTATGCTCTATATACATTACTTTGAATAAAAATTTTATTAAAAAGTTAACAATTTATATTTATTAATGTTTCATTAAAAAAATAAAAATTCACATTAAAAAATTTTTCTTTTTCTCTTTTTCCTTTTTTTTGAGTCTTGTACCATTTAAATCCTATTTCGAAAATTATATGAATGTTTGAAATCATGAGTAATCCATATTCGTTATTGTTTGTTACTGATTTAACGAATAAATTTCATCTTAGATTCTAGAGGAAAATATTTTATAGTCTTACATATTATAACAGAACGTTTGTATGAACATTCGTTGCTCGTGATAGCACAATGGATATTCATAAGGAAGATTCTATTTTAGACATTTTTTATCAAGCAAAATATTAAAATAATTTTAAATGATAACGACAACAAAAAAATATTTATGAGCCAGTTTCAAAAGGCAAAATTAATGTGTTCTAAATACTATGCTATCTTTCTATTAATCTATTATTTTTATATACATGATGTATATAAAGATTTAATAGAATTTATTTAATAGAAATTTTTATTCAATAGAAATCGTTATTATCCAAGCTCCGAGAAATTCCAGTATCTATTTCAAAGTTCAATTTCACCATCGTTGTAGTCTAAAGTTAAGAGTAAAAAAAAAAAAAAAAAAAAAGAAGAAAAAAAAAGCGATGTTCCTGTATGCTTACTCAAAGAGAGAATTTGCACATTCATGTCGCTGGCATCACTTTGAACCTCTTTGAAATCATATTATCTATAACCAGAAAGTCTTTGATCGTTCCACTAATAGCAAAAGTAATTGAACTGGCTTTATAGAGTATTAATACATTCGTGAGGATACTCTTGGAGGATTCAAGATATCAAAATAAATGTAAAAGTTGACACAGAAGAATTTTTAATTGATCAAGCTTATTTATCAAGTTATAAGCGATTCAAACTTTTCTTAGATAAAGCGAGATGAAGAGAGAAATGAGAATGCAGAACATGATATATTATAAAATTTATGGAATTATAAAATTATGGATAAAAAGATCTAATGATTATTATTAAATATAAATTAATATTCATAATCGTGAAATCTCTCTTTAATTTTTAAGAAATTTGAAAATTAAGATGTTTATTGAAATTTTTATTTCATTGTACAAGACAGATGCTTAAAAGATTTTGTCAATAATAATTCCTTCGAAGGAATTGAGATGGTGCTACGACGAAGATAGAGAGTCTCACGTCTAATGCAATCGAAATTTTCGTACCAACTTTTGCATTTGTTTTATCCTATAAAATCGATTTTTCAAAAGTACTCCACGTATCGATACAAACTCTGATGAAGAAAAAACGTTTTTAACGCTTGTCACATAAAAATCGAATTATTTTAAGGAAATCGTGTATCAACGTTTGAAAAAAAATTAAAACAAAAACTACCATAAAAATCGTATTGCGGATCTATTCGAAACACATGCAGATCCACATCACGACAGGATTCGGTTCAATAAAACTTGCATTCCACGAAAATGCAGTTCTGCCAGTGAAACTTTTAGCGGGATGATTAACGACCGCCATAAATTCAAAGTTTCTCCATCGGGGATTTATATTCGTTGCATTGGTTCACTCTCCCGCAGAGAACGCGAAAAAAAACTTAGGAAACAAGCAATTACTGTCTTTTCGTTGATTCGTCGTTGAATACGTTTCGTTGTATCAAACCTAACCTAACTTAACCTAACTTTACGATACATTTAGAACCTGACCCGAGTCTTGGCTTCGATATCCTTTCACGAATGATTGTCCGTTCCATTCGAGACTTTTGTACCAAAGATTGAAGGGCTATCCACCTGACGGATATTGATTTTCGCTTTGGAAGTGCAAGAAACAATTGTAAAATGGCGAAAAATATATAACGGGATGCAAAATGGCTGTGCATACCGATGATGAATCTTCTGCTTTCCAAAAGAAAA